TATATATATATATATATATATATATATATATATATATATATAAATAAAGAGATCTATTGCAAAGAATTCTAATGTACTTGTGGGACCGGCTAGGCACCAGAAACACACAGCTCTGAAATGCATAGGACAGGCTTTTGGGAAGTATAGGCTCAATCTCTCAGGCATGAGCTGAAGCTGCAGTCCACAGGTGAAATTTCTTCTCCAGGGACCCCTCAGTTCTCCTCTAAAGGCCTTCCAATGGACTGATTATGTGGGATAATCCCCTTTACTTAACGTCAACTGCTTTAGGGCTTTAATCACACCTACAAAGTACTTTCACAGCAACGCCTAAATTAAGTGTGTGATGGAATAATTGGGGCCTGTAAGCTAGCCACATCGATGCATAAAACTGACCATCATAGATGGTAAGTGACAGTATTTGTATATGAGTGGTGGTGGTAGAGATGAGTTTGGGAATGTAAAAGAAAGAAATTGGTTACGCTCCATCAAAGTGGGATATGGACTAAACAAATTCAAGAATTTCTCTGCTGAAATAAATATGGTTGATGTGACATAATTATGCCCTATAATTTCTAAGAAGCCAGGGTGGGATACATTTCTCTGACAACAGGCAATTCCTTTTCTGTATGTGTTTAAAGTGACATGATCTGCTGTAATTTAAAGCATGGCGAGACTGCGTTATGTAACAGTGAATCACCTTTCCCTTTCCTCCTCCTTGCAACTTGACTTGTACCCCAGATTTACTTTTCTAATTCATCCTTGAATGTCTGTCAGGGAAAGTGGTTTGTTACATTAATATAGTTCTTATGTTTTTCAGTTATGAATAGTTCTGCAAGGCTTAATGTAGCTTTTCAAAATTCCCTTATTACTGATCTAGGTATTATCACTGTAGGAGCTGAAGCCATGAGACAGTTTTATGGGGGTAATTTCTTGGCAAAGTTAGATTTTGTGCTGAAATCCTGCTGGGTGCTACACACGTTGATGGATGACCCACTGTTTAATAGGACATTATAGTGTTCATGTATGTGGGGAATGGATGTACTAATTAGAACCTTAGAAGAAAATTCTGCTTTATGTTGTAGAGTTTTACATACGGAATATCCCTTGTTCTACCATTTTCTGCGGCTTTTTTTTAGTGTGTTTAACAAATAACTGAAAGTGTGATGTAAAAATATTATGGTGTCCCATGAAAGTATTTACAAGGGGTTTGAACTGAATTATTAAGAATAACAAGGCAGATAGGGGAACTTCTTAATGGCTTGCCATGGTTTTGCAAAATCCCAACTCAGGAGTCTGAAGTTGTGCACTGAGTATCAAGTCTGCCAGAAGATATTTTTATATGGTCTGCAAAGGTGATATATATTTTTAAGTTTACATGTTTACTATAAGTACAAAGGTCTGACAATTAAGTTCGCGAACTTTCTTGCACTGATGTTGCTAACCTTTTTTGATATCAGAGGGATTATTCATTATAATTTGTACCAACTGGACAAACAGTTAACCAAGTTTACTATTTGGAAGTGCTGAGAAGGCTGCGTGAAAAAGTTAGATGACCTGAACTTTTCACCAACAATTCATGGCTCTTGCATCACGACAATGCACCAGCTCACACAGCACTGTCTGTGAGGGAGTTTTTAGCCAGTAAACAAATAACTATTGGAACACCCTCCCTACACACCTGATCTGGCCCCCAGTGACTTCTTTCTTTACCCGAAGATAAAGAAAATATTGAAAGGAAGACATTTTGATGACATTGAGGACATCAAAGTTATGCAATGACAGCTCTGATGGCCATTCCAGAAAAAGAGTTCCAACATTGCTTTGAAGGGTGGACTAGGTGCTGGCATCGGTGCATAGCTTCCCAAGGGAAGTACTTTGAAGGTGACCATAGTGATATTCAGCAATGAGGTATGTAGCACTTTTTCTAGGATGACTTTGCAAACTTAATTGTCAGACATCATAGGCCATATATTGTCTGGTAAACCACTGTCACCACCACTCTATATTGCTACACACCTGGCTGTTTTAAGTATTTGTTACCTGCCTAACCTTTGAAGTTATTTTGGTTTAATGAAATCCACTGGTAGATAAAGACTATACAGTAGATGTCACGTGGCTTAGTGCTTTCAAGGAGCTTACATTCTAGCTGATGCTTTAAGACTAAAAGTGGAAACAATTGCTGCCATGCAGTGTATAAATAATTTATGACATATATTTTATCATCCACTCATGTATCCTGTCTGTATGTCTAATTTTTCTCTTATCCTGTGATGGGGGCTACTGGGGGACCTGGAGGCCAGAGAGAAGGCTACTTTTTTGGCTGCTTTTTGAGTGTAGGAGGCAAGTCAGGGTGAAGACAGTAGCTTAGAAAGACCCTGTCAGTTTTTCTTTACTATCTGAGGGTAACCTAGACATTGAAGGAGAGGCAGGGGATGAACAAATTGAGGAAGTACTGAGAGAGTGAGAGTGGGAGCAGGAGAAAAGGAGAGGAGAGGAGAGGGGAGGGGAGGAGAGGAGAGGAGGAGCAAGAGAGAAACACTGAAGGAGTCAAGGAAGACTCAGGAGTTGTTGGGGCTTTTGATGGACAGGAAGGAAAGGACAAGAGGGAGGGCTTGAGGACCTCGGTGAACAGAAATACACAACTAGCATTTTCATGAGCCAGTGAGACCGCAGGTGACAGCGAGTGAGGAGGTTGTAGAAAACGAGGTTTGTTGGGTTGGATGAGGTTCCTTTGGGCCAGAAAAGTAAGCAAGGCTAATATTTATGGAAGGCTTGATGATTAGCAGGAAGATATTATTTGATGTGTCTCTCTGATGGCTCATATCTTTATTTTATAGATAAAGGAAACAAAGATTAAGACAATTCAAATTGTTCAACCTCTTAATCCAGAGCTAGGATTTAAACCCGGATCATATGAATCCAAGTCCAGTGTTCTTTGCAGGGATCAAATAGAGAACTTTTTCTTAAGAGAACCACTGAAACGTTTTGAGCAGAGGGTGATATATGGTGAATGGGAAGAGAGAATGAGGAATGGAGGAGTCAGGAGACCCTATGGTCTCCACAGTAGATTGCTGTTCTTGCTTTCTAGATCCATCCCCAAAGCCTTCTGGTCGTTAGGCCCAACAAAATGCTAATGTGCTTATTTTACCCTCCTCACTGAAATACACATTCTTTATACAGATATTATTAGAAAGTATTTAACCTTCCACCCCGCAGAATGAACTAATTGTCTTTTTGATGATATGGGCTAAGTTTATCCATCCTATGAATGGAATTAAATTTCTACAGGTGTTATTTGGTGAGTTTTGTGTTTGAGACTTTACTGTTATAGTTGCTAATGCTCAGTGTCTCCAGCTCAAACGGTGTAAAATAATATTTGAAATTGTTTCCTTATTGAAACTTTAGACTTGGACGGAGCCAGCCACCTGAATTATTCTGAGAGCCTGTCTTACGGTGACGATGACCCCATCTCTGCCCACTCGCAGTCCCATCGTGAGGTGCGAGATACCAGGCACCATGGCACATCCCCCCAAAAGACCAGTGTGGTCCACAGCCTCAGTCGCCAGTCCACTGAGGGCAGCTTGGAGATGGAGACGGCTTTTAATAACCGTGGACTTGAAGACTCCTATGCCACAGACAGCTCCTCCATGTGGAGTCCAGAGGCGAGTAGATTGTCTTCCATTTTTTCTTGCTTGACTGTTGTGTGCGCTCTGCCTGGTTCTTGCCCTCTTCCCCCTCCCCCACCCCTCAGAAAAAAAATTTCTCCAAAAAGGAAGCATTGCCTTGAAAAGCAAAGACCTAAAGAAACTTTATTTGAAATATTTTTTTGTTCAGGTGACCAAGGCCCAACCCCTATGTGAACCAATGAAAGAATCCTAATTTCTATAAAAAATGGAAAAATAAAAGAAGAGCGGTAGCAGAATGGGTCCAGCAACAGCCAGGCTTCTTTTTTTATATATAAAGGAGTTTTTAGTTCTTTAGAGAGACTGGTTTATTTCCTTCATGGTTTCAATTAAGGGGAGTCTCTTTTCATTTACTCCAAATCTTGAGTAATGATTATTTGAGTATGGGAATTATTTGAAAATTAAACTAAACTACAGTGGCCCTCCAAATGAAAGTATACAAGAAGTTATGCATTATATTATGATGAGGACCTTGCAATGTGAGTACATTTGCTAGCTTTGAATTGAGTTGAAGATCCAGGACAGGGGGCGGCAAGCTTTTAAGACGGAAGAGCCAATCCTGTCCCTCACAACAATTTAAAAATTATTCGAGAGCCATAAAACAAATGAAATCACCATTATGTGAATAATAACCTTTAAAAATGTTATAAATGAAACTATGATAGTTTTATTTTCATTTTCAATTTTACTTCAGAGCTACATGTACATATCCGAAGAGCCGCATGTGGCTTGCGAGTTGCAGTTTGCAGACCCCTGGTCTAGGAGATGGCATTAGTCTAGAATGATTCTCTGGCCACTAACTTTGCTTTTTGGAATAACTCTAATAAAAGATGTGTCTAAATTTATTTTTCAATTAAAACTTACTCCAGAATATGCCTACCCAACCAGTGGTGTGACTAGAGGTGATGATGATAGAAATTATTATTTATTAAGCAATTACTATGTGCCAGGCACTGTGTTAAGGAGTTTTACAAGCATTGTTTTACCTTGCAGTCATTTATAGTTATTTTTTATTAGCTAAATCCCTCCTATTATGAATTCTGTGACAGTAGGAGATATTAAATAGTGGTGTCTAATACTTACTTTGAGATTAATTTTGATGAAATAAGTCATGTAAGTGTATAAAATTTGAATATAATTTGTGGGGATAGAGGAAGGAGGAGGGTGAATGGGTTTTGGTAGCATCCGTCTGACAGAAAATAAACAGGATGAATCTCTTATTGGGACACACCAAATGCTCATCAAGGAGAAGAAAAAAAAATCATAGGAAGCCATGTTCCCAAGCGGTAGTGCTAATGAGCTGGAGCGTGTAGAGGTTGTGTAGGGAGGTGTGCCCATGTGCGTGCACACTTGTGTGCTGGTGTTCCTACTGAGGACTGAGATGGTAACTCAAATACATGGTTTGTGGCTTGTTAAAAGCAACTCTTCATACAGAGACACCCAAAGCTATTAACCTTATGTTCTGTAAAAAAAAAAATTCTGCTTCCCTGTTGGTTTACTGCTGAGAGTCATACAAATCCTACACAGTCACATTTAACGTTTAAAAATACTTTTCTGGGGGCTTTCTCACCACAAAAACAAAACAGAACTGTTTACCTGCCTATTGATGCTCTGTTCTCTGATCACTGTGCCAGTAGACTGGGAATTGCTTTCCCCAGGTAACTACCCATTTGCCTGCCTCGTCGAGTTTTAATAGAAGACTTGGTGTGGAGGGCACTAAATGTTCTCAGGCTCCAAAAATACCAGACATCTCTGTGTGCTCCATTCAATCTCCTGTCTATTTTGAGACAAAAACTGTAATTTGGTGCTCTTACAGTAGAACCTCAAATGCAGCTCGGAGGCAGTTCCTGTAACTGCCTGCTTGGCAGGCTTAGCTCACCTTTTAAGACTTGATTTATTTGCCTCTTAGCTGTATTAAGAACCCTGTCGACCCCCGTGTATCTGGCACGGGGAACATATTGTGGGTCTGTTTACTTTGGGCCACACAGATGACATCAACACTATCTTCCTAAAACAGAAAGGCTTTCAATTTGATAAAAAAATCTTTAAACCTACAATGGGCTTTGGCAACATGGCACAAGTATTCCCATCTTAAAGAAAACCCCGGGATATTAGAGCGAAATGAATCACTTATTTTGCCTCAGAAGGAAACCGGTCATGCCCTGTGACTACCTGTTAGGCTGATGGATTTCCAAGTGCTGTTCTTCTCCGCTGGAATAGGCCATCAGCTTTCTCCTGCGGACCCAAGGCTGGCAGGGAAGAGTGGGAGGGTGGCTGGTGACGAGCACGCAGGGAGCGAGGTGTCCCACTTTTCATCTCTGCTTTCCACTGATTAACTGGTTGGCCTTGAGAAGTTAATTAAAATCTGCCAAATGGGGATAAAAATGAAGAGATTTTTACCTTGCAGGAAGGTCAGATGGATGAGCGGTATTAACAGGACCCACATGGGGGGCTTCTTTAGTTGCCTGGTGATAGGTAAAGTGTGTTGAAATAATTAATTGCTACGAAAATATCCTCCTTCACAAATCTTCATTTCAGGCCACAAATCCCAGTTTTCATGGGCTACTGCTTAGATTGTTCTATCCAGAGCCTGGCTGTGGCCTGGAGCTGTGTGGTACTCAGCTATATCCGAGCACCCCCTGCCATCCGCCTTCCCACAGGACTTTACCACAAACCTACAGGTGCAGTGAGCATTTATCTGAATAAATAGCCTGATAGATAAGTGGAGAGATACTCATTAACTAGGATATGTCTACCTTGGCATTGTCTTTGATGACAAAACTTAGAGCTATTAACTAATATTAAGAGCAGGGGCCTAAAAGGATGTGAAATTCAAAGGAGTGTTTCTAATTCCCATCTCTCTCATCTTGTTCCCTTTTTACCTAATACACTTACTATACATATAAATAGCTATGGTGAAAGGTTTGTGGGAGAGGAAGGGAGACATTATGGTTCAACATGAAGTTTGGGGTTTCGAGCATTAACACTGCTAAATCTTGGATAGTCCTTCACATATGATGTTGGGGGCAGGGAGTGAGTTACTTAGCCTTTCTAGGTCTTTGTTTCCTCCCCCATAAAACGAAGATATTAAGCTATCTACCTCGTTAGGTTCATATGACTATTTAAAAAGATAATGTTTCTTAGCTGGATTTCCCAAAAAGCAGAGGCTATGTTGTTAGGACATGACATCCTATGGAAGAGCGAGGGACAAAGGAGTGAGGCAGGGAAGAAGGGAGAGCCAGTATGAAAAGGTGTAACTGAGTTGGCCACTACTGAGTGTGACTCAAGGTGGGACCATACTATACTCTAAGAGGCTGTGTAAACTGGTGTAAGGACATCTTTCCACGGGGAGAAAAGTTGACTGCATGGGACATTAAACCCCGCACACTCTGAACTTTATCTACATGAGTGCCAAGCAGGATTCTGTAGCTTTCTAAGCCTTGACATCAATGGAGAGCCTGTGGTGGGAGCTGAGAGTTACAGTGCATGGCAGGAGGTAAGACTGTGGGGTTGTGCTGGACTGAAGCCACGTAGTGCCCAGACAGGCTGGCCTGTTGGGAAAGATGGAACAAATGGTGAGGCCAAGGTCTGAAATGCATAAAAGCAGGCTTTTATAGTCTGTAAAGGTTTAGAATGTTACCTGACATAAGGAAGGGCTTAGTGGATGCTAGCTATTATCACAGATGGTCCAGCAATGCAGAGATGATCAAGAGTAGGCTAAAGGAGAGGGAAGTTGTAACCAAAGACTGTGACTTGATTTTTGAGTTGGCCTAACTCCTTGGAGACTTGCTTCTAATATTATATCTACGCTAGTCAGTTGTATTCATAAGTCTCTATAGCAACCAATTTTATCACCTGAAACTAAGTACCTCTGAATAGAAACACTCACACATGAATGCGTGCTCAGAGGAAAAGATAAAAGAAACTTCCCTTATTTTGCAAGAAGCCTGAATTTTCTTGGTAGACTAATGTGAGTCTTAAAAGAGAGGGTATTTATTAGATGTCATCTATGTGTCAAGTCCTTTAATTTTCACAACTACTCTGCGATGTAGGTATCTTCCCCATTTGACTGTTGAGAAAAACAGGAAGTGGAAAGGATTAAATGACTTTGCCCAACATAATCAAGGTAGCAAGTGGTAGACCTGGGATTCCTAAGGCTGTCCATTTTAGAGAACCTTGCACTTTTACCTAAGCTCTGGGGGAAAGTTACATTGCTATGTGTGCATTTTTTGAGGTGTTGGATTATATATATTTTTAAAAGAAAGAGGTCTTTAAATTAGCAAAGCCTGGTGTTTCATTACATAAATAAGAACTGATCCTGATTTACAATAAGAATCAGACCAAAGTTTATTTATGGGTAAGTGTCATGCCTTCAGAGGAAAAATCAAATTAGGTTGACATTATTTATAGTTGTTGGAGGGTGGTTCATTACAGTAAATGCAGTTCAGCTCAGTTTTCTCAGTGAGGTCATCAGATCTGACTGGCTATAGGTGAATTGCAGTCGAAGGGTAATATTTCATAACGAGGGGAGCTTGTTGGAAAATAGGTAGCACTAGTCTGGCAATGGGATAGGTATTTATGGAATCTGGTCTGAGCCAGGTATTTTCCCACATCTATTAAAACTTCACAACAGCACTCAATCAAGTAAGCATCATACTGCTCATTGTTCAGCTAGTTGACAGAGAGGATGGCCTATATGGCCAGGGTCAAAAAGCTAGTCAATGATAGACTTAACAGTTTCTGTTTGGTGCTCATGTATATATTCAGTCCAGGTGTTCTGTTTGCAAGTTCAGTGTCGCTGTTTGCTAAATGGCTGTTGGGATGCCCTCCTAAACCCTTGCTACTCAAAGTGTGATTTGAGGTCACCTGAGACATCCTTGCAGTCTTCTGAGAAATGCAGAATCTCAGGCCCCACCCCAGTGCTACTGAATCAGAATCCTCAGATGAGTCAAGTCCACATGAACATTTGAGAAGCTCTGCCCTAAACCTTTCTCCCAGGTAGACTGGATATCTACTGAAGGGTCACATGTCCATGACCCCCATTTTATTAGGATTCTTGTCTTTCAGAGGTCCTGGCCCATGGAGCACAGGCCCAGGCTCAACTATTTCCCCTGGGGACTCAGGGAAAAGTTATCTCTTGGTAATTGTGTGGTTGACTAATTTTAGGCTTAGTATCTCAGTTGGTTTCAGTTATAGAAGTCAGTTGTGCTTTATGAAAATTCTTTGCAAAATACAGAAGTTTGTTCATTTGTTCCAAAAACTTTCATGAAGACTCATGTATGTCAGGCACAGTGTCCTCAAAAACTTCACATTCTCATGGGGAGATAGACCAGTCAACATACCTTTCTAATGTAGAGGGCTCTGTGCTAACAATAAAAAAGTTTGGGGTCCTGAAGGGGCATGGAGGGGCCTTATCATTTCCATTCCTAATCTTCTCCTCTGTCTGCAATAGGAGCAGGATGGGACCAATTTTCAGGTGCCATCTGGGGTCCCAGAGCCCATCTCAAAGTGTGGTGACATGGATGTCATCTTTGAGTATAGAGCTGCCAGCCAGAAGCTCACAGTGACCATTGTGAGAGCACAGGGTCTCCCGGATAAGGACCGGAGTGGCATCAATTCCTGGCAAGTTCACGTCGTGCTGCTGCCCAGTAAGAAACAGAGGGGCAGGACAAGCATACAGAGGGGTCCCAACCCTGTCTTCAAGGAGAAGGTCACCTTCGCCAAACTGGAGCCCAGAGACATGGCTGCCTGTGCCATCCGCTTCCGCCTGTACGCTGCCCGCAAGATGACCCGCGAGAGAATGATGGCAGAGAAGCTGTTCTATCTCAGCCACCTGCGCCCGGAAGGGGAAATGAAAGTGACCCTAGTTCTGGAGCCAAGAAGTAATATCAGTGTGAGTATGTTAAATGGTGCCACGAACGACGCGGTGTGTTCAAGGATGTGGAATGATCAGCTCTTGATTTCGTACATTCAGCCTGTGAATCCAAACATGTTCATTTAATTTTCCATTTGGTTCTCCTCATCCTTATAAGCCATGGTTTGCACTTAATGCGAGAATGCGTTTTTCGTGCCTTCTTTTCTATAACCTGATGGATGTATTCCCTGTTGATTGTAGGAAATGACAGCACAGTGTGGTGGAGGACATGAGAAAACGGGGAGAGGTGGCAAGGCCTTCTGGTTAGCTAATAAATGGGCCTACTGCCCCTCCCCCCACTCTACCCCCAATATGCATTACGATGAATCTAAAAGAAGGCACTTTCAAGGTGAGGTCCTTAACAAGTGTGCCTGAGTAGGCTGCACCAGTAGCTCAGAACTCCAGGCACTGCTAAAACCTTCCATTTATATGACCAAGCCCCTCCGTGTGCCCCATGCCCTGCATCCCCTGGGGTTTTAAGGAAAGACAGTGCAGCATGCATGTCTACAAGATGGGTAACCCCATCTAGTGTGAGTATGACCCTTTAAACACCATGTGAAAAAGACCAGGCATCTATTTTGGATTGTTGGTCTAATCAGTCATCCATCCAAAAGAGTTTTCTGAGTGCGTCCTCTATGTCAGTACTGCATAGGTAAAGGGGGTGCAGGAAAGAACAAAACAGGTGACGCCTCTGTCCTTGGGGAGCTTACAGTGTGGTAGAGGAGGGTGACAGCAGGCAAACCAAGGCAGGCAAGGAAAGAGAGTGACAGAGGCTGCTGTTTGTTAGGAAGAGTCAGAGGAAGTTTATTTGAGGTGGTGAGAAAATACAGAACTCAAGAAGGCTGGTGGTATATGGAGCACAAGGAGTTTAGACAGAGAGAAGGGTACTCGCAGGTGTCAGGAGGTGGGGAGGAGTTCATCATATCTGATGAAGAGGAAAGGAGCCAGAAAGGCTAGCATGTAGAGATGGACGGTCCCGCCACTTAAATTTTAAATAGGTGTCTCAACATTAATATCTCCAGACTTGAAATCCTGATTTTCGCCTCCCTAAGTCTGTTCCACCTGAAGTCTTTCCATCTTGGCTAAAGCCGATTTCGTCCTTTTAGTTGCTCGGGGGAAAAAATTCTTACAAGTCCTTTTGACTTCTCTTCTTTCCCCCTGAAATCCTATTGGTTCTATCTCCAAAATAAAACCGGAACTTGACTCTGCTGGATTATTGAAATGGACTCCTAGTGTTCATCCTGCTTCTGCCCTTTGCCCCCTCAGACTATTCCCAACATGGGGGGGGGGCGGGCAGAATGGCCCATTTAAAACATAAGACAGATTATGTCTCATGTCTCTCAAATCCCTTTTTCTTCTTAAGCTCTGAGTAAAGTGTATCTGAAATCATGGAAAACCGAAGCCACAGGAGGTCAGGAGTCCTGCGGTGTGAAGCTGAGGGATAGGTTTGATCACACTTCTGTCTCCATGTGCCGGGCCCTGTGCCATGTGCTGGGAGCACAGAGTTGAGTGGGGACCATGAGTCAGTATGAAAGAACTTTGAGGATAAAAGTTTTTCCATTCACCAGTTACTTCTTGAACATGATTATATGCCAGACATTGGGCTGTGCACTATAGCCTGAGAGATTGATAAGGATTCAGAATTTGATGGGAGAGGCAAGCTATGCAGTGATCGGTACCACAGTAGATGCTTCTGTAGAAGCACAGGGGAGGGGGCGATCCTCACCCCAAACTAAGCAAATATTCCATTGTTGGGTTGTCATCCTCTCGTAGGGGCTACAAGGCACCTATCAAAACCTCCTGGCTCTATAATTTACAAAGTATTTCATGAAAGCCCAGGACGCCAGATGTCCATGGCTTGATAAACAGGATATTTTCCTACAGATATGAAGAATATTTAATTTCTTTTAGTACATTTATTTATTGGAGTTCCAGATAAGAAGCTTTAGGAGATGATTTTCCATGTTAAGAAGAAAGGCTTGAGTAGAGTCCAGTGTACTAGTTTCTGGTGGGACGGGTGGTGGCTCCGGGAGGCTGGCTGGTTTGCCCGCTTTGGGCTGATTCCTGCTCCCCCTCCCTGGGTGAGAACCAGCTTGGTGATCTACTTTGCTCTCCTGTGATGTGTCCAATGCATGAATGAGAGTACTTTGGAGAAGCGTGCAGGTGAATAAACGTAACAGAAAGTGTGGGTTCTCCCCTGGGGTCACCTGGTGCCTGCAAGGTCTCTGAGAGCTACGGTCCATGTGTGGGCTTCCTTACCAAACAGCTGTAAAAGTGTTCATTTTCAGTATAATTTCTTTCCTTAGCAGGAAGAATGTAGCTTCTGACATATTCCTGACAGCCTTAAGAATCAAAACTAGGGGCCAAATGTTCTATGCGGTGGTAGACGTCCAGTGGTCATTTCTTGCCTAGTGAAGACAAAATGCCCCCTGTATCGCTACATTCATCAAGAAGCTGCAAAGAACAGAAACAGAACTCATGCCTGGAGTGGATGTGTCCCATAGAAACATGCGAGCACAAATTACGCAGGAGGGAATTTGGGTCTATATTAAATGTATTATTAGCTCTCCATGTATCTTAGAGGATTTGATTTACACTAGTAATAACATCTTTGTTCATTTTGTCTTCAGAGAGGAAATACTGAATGGAGACAGCTCTTGAAACAAAGATGTCAGCTAATAACGCAGGGGCTTTCATCCACGACCGTGCTCCCGGGGCCCATTATCATTCACACCAAGTGCACAGTTCCTTAGTAACTTTTGGCAGCAGTTGAGATTGGGTCACAATTTCACCAAACATATCTGCTTTCTGTAAGAGAGAGTAGAGCAGCGTGGGCCAAAGGCTTCTTTGTTTTTCTTCCCCTCCAGAGTGGAGAGTCTCCGCTCAGCCCATCTGCCGTTTCGCACAGTGATAGCGCTTCCTCCACGCAGTCGCTGTCTCATGGAGGGGCGCCAGAGCTGCTGGTGGGGCTGTCCTACAATGCGACAACGGGGCGATTATCTGTGGAAATGATCAAAGGCAGCCATTTCCGAAACCTGGCTGTTAACAGAGCGCCTGGTAAGTGCATGTCTGTCCCCCCAGCTCTGCCCTTTCCAGGGGCTACTAGAAGGCTGTGTCTGCTTGCATCTTAATCCTTTAACTTTTACAACGAAAGTGATCTTGGTATGGCTTAAATGAGTTTTACAAAGTGAGAGCTCTTGGATTTTTTAATTGCCTTTCTGTTTAATTAGATTGGAGACTTCTTCAATATCTAGATGCATCTCAACATGAAATAGGCTGACCTGAACGTGCCTATTGTTTAAGGGAAAAGAATGATGTCTTTTCAGCAACATAATCTGTGTTGGCAATTAAAATCTGCTAATAGGTCCCCGGCCCTGAAACACCTTTAAAGAGGCAGAGCTCAGGCAGGCATCGGAGTGAGGCAGGTCTGAGATAAAATTCCAGCTCTACCTGCTTACCCACTAGCTCTGCTCTGATTCTCTGCAATTTGCCTCTCTTTTCTGTTCAGTAGACTCATCTGAAACAAAGGAATATTAATAGTACCTCCTTATAGGGCTGTTTTGGAGTATAAATAAAATAATTTAAGTAGGACATTTAGCACCGTGTGTAACACATAGTGAACACACTAGAAATGTTAGTGGTTTTGGTGTTGATGGAGGAGGAGGTGGAGGAGGAAGATATGGGTCAATACAGGCCTGACTCACAACTTCTGAGATCAACCATGGAAAGAGGGTCTCAAGACGTACTTCAATAGCTGCAGTCCTGGGTTCAGGAAACCAGAATAAAAAAGCAACTGCTGACAATTGTCTCTCAAAACCCAAGAAGTTGGAGATTGAACACTAGAATGATGTTGCTAAATAATGAGCTCACCTTTAATGATCTTGCTTGTCAGCAAAAACAGCTTAAAAGGGGGCAAGAAAATGGTTTTTGCTTCTGTTCTGCATTCTGGATATCATATAAGTACATCTAATCAGAGGAACCTAATTTGTATCTAGAATGCTAGCTGCAAGAGAGCCTGGAAAATGTTGTTGTTGAATTTCTAGTCTTTGAAGCACAGGGAGGTAAAATAGAAGGGTGTGGAGTGGAGGGCAAGTGAGCCTGTCCCCCATAGGCACCAAAGTCTTAACTGAAATAAAGATGAAATCTATAAGAACATGGTAAGCTGCAAGAGTCAATGGACTCAGGCCTCACATGTCAGCCATCAGGTGAAGAGCCAGCAGAGATGGTAGAAAAAGATCAGCTCCTACAACCAAATCTGGGCTCTCACTTTTTTAGCCTTTAACTGTGCTGCACCCCACAAAATCCCTGTTGTATTATATCTTGTGAACCAATCTGTATTAAAGCCATCAGAGCAAGTTAGTAAGGAAAGCCCAGCACTCTTGATAACAGAAGAGACAGGTACATAAGTCATGTTCTGTGTGGATGTTCAAAGTCAGGTGAGGGCTATTTAAAATGCATAAGTGCTGATTATTAATTGCATAGCTAAAGTCTCTTTGCTAGATACAGCCTTTGTTTTATAAAATAGATTAGGAAAGATCTAGATTTACTGCTCTTCCTTCATCAGAGCTTTTGCTGGTCTCTTTCCATGCCCTCCTGAGATTTGGTGAGATTTGAGTAATTTTGGGGAAATAACATGGTGGAGCTACAGAGAATGAATGATAGGGAGGCAGATCACACAGTCATGGCTCATTTCAGTGAATGCTGGGAAGCTTTAATGTGTGTGCTGGGTGGAACCAGGCAGTACAGGGGAAAAGGACAGCATGGTGGCTAAGAAAGCATCAGCCAGAGGCTGGCAAACTTGGTGTCAATTCAGGCTCTGCCCCTTATTAGCTGTGAGTCACTAAACTTTTCTGAATCTCAGTTTCCTTATTTACAAAATGGGGTCATGGTAACATACACTTTCCGGGGAAAGTTACTACAGATAAAGCTGTGATGTTGAGGATGGTACTATTGTATTTTCATACATTTCTTTATGAAAGAGAAAAATGCCAAAGGGGATATTCTTGTAACAAATGTTTAAAACAGAATAGGAAAAAAGGCACAAGTCCTAATTTAGAAACTGATTTTTATTCCAGAAGTTTAAGTCAGTTTGTCATGTACAACATGGTGTTTCATAGACATACTGCTGCAATTTAACTTAAAATGTAACTGACACGCTGTATCTTTGCAACCAAAGTAATAGAAGATAATGTGGCTGCGATGTTATTAATGAAAACAGAAACCCAATAGTGAAGGCAAAAGTTTTTTGTTTATGTGGAATGATGGTACTCAAGGAAAAGCCAACTTAATTAAGAGAGGTTGAGGCCATAGATGGTTCCTTTGTGGAGATTCTCAAAGGGGCCTCTTGGTAGTTCCAGGGGCTTTAGATATTGATGGCATTGGTTATTCATTATGTCTCACTTCATTACACCACTCGCACGACTTTTTGCAGTCATCAGGTAAGCCTAGGATGCATTTTTTGTTTCCACATGGAAGAGAACATGAGAGAGGAAGGATGAGGGAACAAGAGTTTCATGAAGTAACTGAGCAGAGTTGGAAGCAAGAGGTGGAGAAGGACAGAGGATGCAGGTGGGGAGATGAATGGGACCGAGAGCAAGGGGTGATGGAGGGATCTGGCCAAGTGAACTGGTCTCCAAGGTGGAGGTGAGGGTTGGGCAGGAGGTAGGACCAGAGCCCTCGGTTAGAGTTTACCACAAAGGAGGTGCCTACCAGGGAAGAGACACATGTAGGAACATATATATTCAAGGATCACAAATCCTGTGCTTGGGACTCTTGGCACAGGTGCAGTGCCTCCTCTGAGAAGAGGGGACATCAATCCTACCTTACAGGGTGTCTCTGATAATGTGAAGAATGGAAGGGCACTAATTCCATTCATGAGGGCTCCACCCTCATGACCTAATTACCTCCCAATGGCCCCAAGTACCATCACACCTCCAAATAGCTTTACACTAGGGGTTAGGGCTGCAACATATGAATTTGGGGAGGAATTTCCACTCCATAGCACAAATGGAGCAACATATAACAATTGAAGGATCTTAGTGATGGGTATA